AAAGCGATTAAACAACGCTCAGCGTTCGACAGCCCCGAGGCACGATCCACTTCGAACCGACCCTCTAATAATACGCAAAATGCTTCTCGACAATGATAAAACAAACACTATTGGCAGTTGACTATTTCTAAACATAAATCCTTGAGGGCTTGAATGTTTTGCAACAAATTCAAAGGGAATTATGTAATTTCAAAAATAGAACAGCTACAAAATTGTCAAACCACACCCTAATGTTTATCTTTCGGAATGTTAACATTTGCAGTTCGATTTTTAAAATCATTTAAATTAAAAAAAGGAATACGTTCCATCAAAACCAAGATTTTATCGGTTCCGCTTTATTTTTTTGCTATTATTCTCTTGATAAACGTACTTACAGTTACTACAGACCTATCGACATGTTGGTCTAAATATCGACACATGTCTATCTCGCAACAATAGGTTCGCGTCGAGTGTATCCTGTATCGACACAATGATATCAGATCTCGTGCCAATCATTATAAATTGATCCTTATTTTGTTGTCATTAATGCCCAATGTTGTACAGTCGTCGAATTTCGATAGATACAGCTGAATTGGTCGTAACTAAGATTTGGTCTACGACCAACAAACAGACGGTTTAGTGTTTATTTCCAACGTTTAGAGCATGTTTTCGATTAAATGCTTCTTAAACGGGAAGTAAATGTATCTTTGTACGTTCGTTGAGTAGGTATTTCTGTGGATAGCTACTTGAAGTTAAAGGGATGATTTTGTAGGATTATGTTTGTAATTGTGTTTTGATGCTCCTAGTGGAACGAAAAGTAGTTGGGGTAGTAACATTAAAGAACTTACATTATTATCTCAACTTAGTACGTTATGCTTTGCTATTTTAAAAGTAATCACTTAATGACAAGTTTTAGCCCGTGGTTTTAGCTAAATTACAATTTGTGTTGTGTATATTATGTGTATGAAAGTGATGATATTTCTTTACTTAAAACATTTGATGGCTTTTAATTTGAAAAAAGTATCACTTAACAGCAATTTCGAAATCAAACTTCCATAATTTAAGTTGTTGTTGGCAAATCATTTTGCACGCTGCCACGTTTATTGAATTAATAAATGACAAAAATCATTGCATAATTTTCAGTTTTCATGCTATTTTGCACATTTAATATAAAATGACATTTTGTCATACATTTTCTTGCTTATCAAGTAAAACTTTGTTTCATGATGTCAGCTAATCAGATTTCGTGCGACGGATCTTTTGACGACCTCCGTGGCCGAGTGGTATGTTTTTTTTTGTTTCCTCCCAGGCGGAGGAGCGGGTCAGAAATCCTCATGGATACCCTACAGCCGGCTGTAGGGTTATGTCAGACTCTTATAGGCTAAAAAACACCCGTTAATCATGCTTATGGCCAGAAGGGCCTTACAAGCTTCATCTGAAGCGATCATCCCCTGAGAGGGGGATGATGCAGTGAGTGGTGTGTAGGTACGCCGAGTTTTAAGGTGTCTAATCGAGATGTCCCGGGTTCGAATCCCGGTGGGGGTAGATGTTTGTGTGATGAATACAAGCATTTGTAGTTCAGCCATGGATGTTAAATATATATTTCTATTTAAATATCGTTGTATATGTATTCTATCCGTTACCCTAGTATCCCATATCACAAGCCTACAGTGCTTACTTTGGGGCTAGGCTAATTGGTGTGAGTGTTGGAAGTATTTATTATTACTTATTATTATCATGACGTCGAATAAAACGACTTGCGTTTCATGCTTCTCCCACACCAGTGCGATGAAGATTTGGGTGGCTTTGGTACTAAATGCGCTTAAATAAGTGTTCGAAATTTTAATTAGTTCTGTCGTAATGAATTAGCGGGTTGCTTGTCTATAGACACTAGACGATAGCTTGACTGGCGTTAATTTGATACGCTGCAGGAGGTTGTGGAAAACTATAACGAGTTTCTTACCAGTTCTTCTCAGTACAAGGTCTCCCGCCATAGTTTTGCGAACCGATGGCGTAGCTTCTTAACCTTCACAAGTGTTTTTTACAGCCTAGACTGAATAAATGACTTTTCATTACATTTCATAATTTTGTGCATTGCAGCTGAAGGAGCGTTTTTTTTTTTGGGTTCCGGTGGTTATTCTCCGGAGAGTTACCAAAGAACATTTATTTGAATCAGATTATTTAGATGGTTTAGCATTTTAGCATATGGATGTTTGTTTTTCGCTATTTGATACGAATAAAAGTAGGAGCGTAGGTACTTAATTTAAAGTTCGAATGCAAATTTTAGTGCATTTCAGTACCACAGCTACTCGAAACTTCGTGTGTGGGATAAGCGTGAGTTGACAAATTGCACGGTATGCCATCTAGTTCCCGATATGATTTTGTTTTTGACGTGATAATGTCTTATAAATCGATGAACACCGGCTGCACGCACGAAAATGTGTCACGTTCCGCCTGAGCCTGAGCGTGCAAGCGAGAGCGTGGAACAAGCGATAGAGAAGTACGATCGGCCCAAGCGTCGGCTTGTACACATGTCTCTCTTCTCGCGTAAGGCTACGGCCTTACAGAAAGAAAGCTGGAAGCTGACCAGCGCTTATCAGCGTTGGTCCTTACTGGTAACAGTTACATAAAGGAAGCGGATTGAAACGTACACACATCAAAAATGTCTAGGGATCAACATATATTTTTGCAATAACTTTTCTCCTGATTGATATTAATTAAAATTTTCTTTAAGGATTCATCAAATAAAGTGTTTTCGTTTGTCACAGTAACGATAAACCAAGTCACCTTTGCATTAATAAAGAAATTTGCCATTTTCCTAATAAAGGGATTTTTGACATTTGAACCACTAACACAAAAGTTCGAAAAAAAGACTGAAATAACAGTTTTCTCTAAAATTTTATTGGGTAACTTAAACAATTAATAATCCGTATTTCTACCGCGAACACTAACAACACAAGAACATCGGTTTGGCATACTCAAAATGAGTTCATCCAAATCACGCTGTGGAATGGCCGCCCATGTTCGTTGCAACAACAAAAAAAGGTCTTCTTGCGACTGGATACCCTCCATATTCGGCAGAGCTCTTCTCTGTAGCATATCCCATGCATGCTCAATCGGGTTCAAGTCTGGCGACTGAGCAGGCCAGGGCAGGACATTGATGTTAGCTGCGGCGAGAGTCTGTCTTACAACTCTTGCGGTGTGCGGTCGTGCATTATCATGCATTAACTGAAATAAGGGACCGATTTGCACTTGTAGAGGAACGATGACGTCTGATACAATCGTCTCAGCATAAATTTGAGCGTTGAGGTTGCCTCTGATCCAAATCAACTCAGTTCTTCCGCCGATCCAAATACCCGCCCATACCATGATGGTTCCACCACTATAAGGATGGACTTCCTGGCAGGATTTTAATCGCTGTTGGCGTCCAGGGGTTCTCCAGTGTCGTATACGTCTTGTATCCGGTCTCATACCAAAACGAGACTCATCAGAAAAGCACACGAAACGCCATTGTTCTTCTGCCCAATTTCTGTGTTCAAGAGCCCATTGATATCGAATCCTACGATTGTGCATTGCTATAGGTGGTACCCGTAGCGGTCTTCGGGAATGAAGGTTCACTTCATGCAAGCGGTTTCTGACTGTTTGGTCGCTAATTAAGTTCCCTGAAGAGTGATGAAGCCTCACGGCTAACATCATGGCGGTTATTGTTGGAGCTCTTCGAGTTAAGATTTGAATGTATCGGTCTTGTCTCCGTGTGGTGCAGCGATACCGTCCTCCATGGCGCTCAGCCACGGTACCAGTGCTTCGGTATCGTGTCCAAAGTCGACTGATAACACTCTGACTTGTATTCAGAGCTAAAGCCACAGTACGTTGCCGGGAACCAGCTTCTATCATTCCCACGGCTCTGAGCATTTCTTCCCTGCTTAAATGACGTCGCCGCTCCATAATAACGTTGGTTTTAATCAGTAGTAGGGAAACAGTAGCACTAATAATGTCTTCAATGCGTTGTATGTTTTTATAGGGAAAATATTGACAGCTGATTTTCATCTTTTACTCGAATTTGATTCACAGTTCCTGATTCAAATTATGAAATGCACCAAAAAGGATCCATATAAATTTATAAAATCATAAATTTATTACAAAGCCACATCTCAATCTCAAGAAATCCGCATAAAAATGCTTGATCCCTAGACACTTTTGATGTGTGTAGTTGTTCATTAATTTCAAAGGACGGTGCCAGCGCTGAGCAGCGCTTATCGAAGATTGTCGGTACTTGTCGGCGACGTTCGGCGCTTATTGGCGCTGGTCCATAGAAATGCCTGCGCCGGTTACCTGCGCGAACCGGTTACTAAAAACGCTGGTAGGCTACCAACTTTTTTTCTGTATACGGCGTAACGTCAGAGCTAGCAATCAATGTTTGTTTATGACGATATCACGTAAAAATATCGTCCGTCAACTGACTTAACAGACAACCATTTATGAAGTGAAAACTTCTTTAGCGGCGTTGTGCACTTTTTTTTATAATGGGTAAAAAATGTTAAACTCGCATCAGGACACGTGGCCTCTTCGAAAATTCGTAAGACGAAATCAGTAAAATTGGAAAGGTTGTTGAATTTCAATATATTAGCTCTAACTAGGACGTCCAGGTGGCAGCTTTTTGCGAAGGCATGTTTTTTTACAATAGATGTCGCTAGGTGCGCTGAAATGTGATTCATGTAAGTTGATTTTTCTGAGAGATTAACTTTTTAATGTAATATAAATTGTCATGTTAGTGTAAGATAGCGCAATAAATATATATTGTATTCTACGACATTAATATGAAAGTACTTTTATACCGATAATTAAAGCAATGCGTGTAAAATTATTCCCTAACCATTTCAAATGATCAAAAATGCACAACGTTAATATTCAAGTTTTCACTTCTGCCGGCACTCCCGGAGTACAACTTTTTATTTTTATGGGTAAAGTGTTGCGCTCTCGCCGCCTTCCGCAATCCAAACTAAGGTTAGCTTTACATGCAGATATTACGAGACTGGGTCTATCAAGCCGCGCGCCATCGGCGGCTCGAAGCCGCGGGTCGCCACCACGCCAGTGGTGCAGAAGATAGCGGACTACAAGCGCGAGTGCCCCTCCATCTTCGCGTGGGAGATCAGGGACCGCCTGCTCAGCGAAAACGTGTGCAATAACGACAACATACCTAGCGTGAGTACTTTCAACTTTTTGGTTATGAATACGATAATAGCTAATTTATCCTTTCACATATAGATCAAAGTTTTACACACTACTTAATAAATAATTAAGAAATCATAATGTGATCTGACATTTTGACTTGTATAAGGATAATAAAAATTGTTGTTTATATACACACACACACACATCATGTTACAATACAACCTACATTTAAGAAAAAGAAGAAAATACTATATAAAAGAAAACTTTTAATTGTAAACGGTAACTTGAGGTCCTTTCAATAAGATATTAAGAAGAAGCAATTTGCAATTTTCAAAGTTGTAGTAATCCTAGCATACCTACGCCTAAGTGTTTTGAGTGTTTATAAGCCTATATATCTATAAGATATATGAAACTACTTATTATAAGACTAAATGAAAATACTTATTATGTATTCTTATTGATCACACCAAATTAGGATATAATCACGAGAAAAACTATTTGCAATTCTAACATGTCATGTCACCTTGATATGTCACCGACACATAAGGAACCATTTAACAACAATCCACATTGCAAATGTCACAACACTTGAGTGAGTTTTAATTAAATCCATGCAAAAATATGCCCGTCGCACATTGTGCCGCCCTCCAAATAATCTGGACTAAAATTTTCGTTGACAATATATCGCTTTTAATCCAATTTCGCAATAAGTTTTTCAGCTAACGGCCATATGTTTCGATGTCCAAAGAGTATCTATTGTGTCGAATACCTTTTGAGGACCCTACTTATAATGTGGCCTATTCTCCACAGTTATTGATGATGGCTTATAAAATTTCTATGAGTCTTTGTATGTTGTGATGGAAGACTATTAAAGACTTTTCGGACTTTATAAAATCCGTAGCTCAATAATTTTGGGAGTGTACGTGTCGGTTATTAGCTCACAATAGGAATATTGCATTAAAAATCCTTAATGAAATTATAAAGCGTATTCTTTTCACAGTATTTTAGTTGTATGTGGTTCTAAATTTTCATTGCTCGTTTAGGTCACTAACGCTTATCATCTTTTTTTGGATAAGTTAACCTAGATAACGAAATTTATTTTCGATAGCAAATAAGCAAATAACATCAGTAGATTATGAGAGAATATACGTAAGCAAAAAAACAAAACCTTATCCTTAACGAAGATTACCAATATTCTCCTCACCCAAAAAAAGCCAATTGAACACCTCTCACACTCACGACCACGGTACCTGATAAGGACCTGAAACATTAACCGTGTAAATCAAATTATACAAAAGGTAAAATGAATGGGTAAGGTGATAGCTATGTGACACCTCTACTTCCCTATAACGAAGTCACCAATGCAGATACCTATGCCGCAGCATCAAAGATTTAATAAGACAAAGAAAAAAAACAACTCAACCACACAACGCACAATCCCTCGTGGTAATATCACGTACAACATATTAAATAAAGCTTTGTACCAAGTGACACGACCGGTAATCGAACCAGACGCGCCGAAAGGACATCTGCCCGAGCGATGATGACGACAAAAAATCACAAAAGACCTTTTTTCACTCGCATAAGTATAATTCATCTCGCCAATTTTTCTGTTAATAATGTCACAACTCGAATATATGGTGTTTTTGTGATATTTGGCATCGGAGCCGAATGTAAACACTCGGTGGCACAAAAGATGTCGTGGCTTATGAAAAAAGGGCATTGTCTGTTCGAGTGTTGAGATTTTTTGACATTTGTACCTTCCACGTTATAAATTTGTTTAATGTTGATGACGTGACAGCTGAAATTCCCTCAACATTTCTAAAAATATTTTAGAATGTTCAATATACCTACTTCTCAATAAATTTAATTCTAGTTTTATTTAATAACAATGCTATAACTGTTTTTTTTCGTAGATATATATTACTCAATCACGCTGGAATGCCTAAAAAGATTAACATGATATTTAACATACAAGTAGAAGGTATATATACCTTTTAAAATTCCACAGGACACTTTAATAGATTCTCTTTAATCTTAACTTAAACATAAAAAATAGGTAACTCAATACAATAATAATAACTGTTAAATGACTGGGCGAAACCTAAATATACTAAAGATATTAAGTACACATTTTAACAAAAGTAAGATTAAATGAGTATGCGCCACAGCCTTATAACGCATTAATCCGAGGGGACTGAACACCAGCTCCATAATAACCAATGACAGTACACCAGACACACCTATAAGTGATTATATCTACCATGCACGTCACCCTCTGTAACGAGAGGATAAAATCGAAACACCGAATGCCCCTAGAAGATTCGGCGCCGAAGGGGCTATTTTTATGACTGTCGTACCTACGCACTCGGCCCACTGGGCAAATAGGCGAAAGGGACAGTGTTCACGATCATATATGCGCGAGTGAGACGGTGCATTGTCGTGCGTTGCGTCGTCTAGTCATAACGGTCGAATGGGCGTGATGTTTCTTACCAACTGAAAGCGGACAAAAATACGTGGAACAATCGATTTGTAGCCAGCGGCAGAACGGCGTAACTGCTACGGCGCGGCGTCGCGAAGCTCGCGTTAATCCAACTCGAGTGAAGTTATCGCATTAATAACTTATAGAACATTGATGATGCTTAAATCTTAAAAAATAATATTGATAGCATAAATATGAATGTGGAATTCAAAAGAATATGGCGAAACTTTATGCAAATGATACCGCATTATTTTAATCAATCAATGTACTTTCAAAGTGTGATAAATATTACCGTAAAGAGCTTTCCAGTGTTTCATATTTCGTAAAAATTATCCAATTTAATATAAAAAGTCGTTACATTGATTATAAAAAAATAAAACCGATAATATGATACTTTTTTTATGCATATCTTATGCACATCACACAAAGATAATGAAAAGGTAATAAAGATTCCTTCGCTGGAATTTTCATAAGTTATATTAACAATTTGGCTGTTACTTCTTATAATAACGGTCATTCTTCGTTATTCCATTTATACGGATGGCTTGTATGTCATAACAATAGGTATAGTAACAGGATGATGATTATGAACAAATAGATGTGTATTTTAAATTATTTTTATTTAAACATTTCCAATTTTTATTTAAGAGCATCGCTAGGACCATCAAGTATAAAATTGTGTGTGAACAAATTTCCCCTTACGTCACTGTTTTTCTGGCTCGTCAGTTTTATAAATCCGTTTACGCGTGAATGCACAGAACATTTGTTGTCTCACTCACACCTATGGGGACACCGCAAAGATCTGCATTAAGTTATCTGGCCGACCTTTTCACTCGGATTAACGTCAACTGCTTATGATGTAGGAACGGATGCTGGAGTCTAGACAAAATGTTGAATTATATTTAATCAATTATTTAAAGGTCCTTTAAGAAATATTTTTAAAATATACTCTTGAGGATTCAATTACATATGACAGAATTCAATTTATATGATTTATTATCTGCGCTTCAATAAGTGCCTAATGTACAGTCAACAAAGTCATGGCTGGACCACCTTAAAGACGATTTTCCTTTGTAAGACCGTTTTCTGGAAAAACGGATCACCCAGCCTTTTTGTTCTTGTTCACAAATCACAAACCATCACACAAAAAATAATAACAGAAGAATTTATCCCTTCTCGTACTTGCTAAAGTCATAAAATTGGGTACACAATCGGCAACTACATAATTAATAAAAAATATTGTTTGCCATGGGTCAAATATATAAGAAGTAAGCCGACCGACACTCATCCAGAGCAAGCAAAACAGTTTTGAAATTGGTCAAGCGATGACTTTGTTGATGGTACCTACCATTACCTAATCGTAGTAATTAACAATAAAAAAAAGTAATGGAATAGACTTTTTAATCTTTATGGCTATGGCCATACTGTCGTGCTATCGCAAACATTTTCCATTTTCACGATAAGTTGGACCAATCAACAGTCATATTTCAGAACACTGCTAGTAATGTGATATTTGCTTAGTTAGACTCGTCGTGAAAACTTCATATGTTCACTAACTGAACTCACAACAAGTAATAGGGATTAACACATACACTATCTTACAATTGGTAGGTACTACATACTATCACCAAGATACGATTTGGATCATTGTTTGCAAACAAGGATAAAATGCAGGACCAAGTTTGATGCCCAGACGTAGCGAGCCCAAATGAAGATATCTTTATATTTTGTAACTACTTATTCTTGGTTTTTTTTAATGTCATTGTTGTCCTGTAACTCATTCATATTAGAAGATATAGTGAGAACATAGTGGTATCGATTTTGGCAAAACTCTCTAAACCTAAAACATATTTGAGAACAGTATATCCTTGTTTGACATAAAAATATTGCTTAGTAATTTTGACATAAACATATTTTGACATTTATTTCTAACTATGACTTGTTTGATTGTCATTGTAATATAATAATTTTGATTTGCATATAATTGTAACCCTGATTATTTCATAACAATATTGCATACCTTATAATAAGGTCGAAATGTAGTGACACAAAACTTTTTACGTGACACCAATTTGCTGTACTAACCTACATTTCACAATAAAGCATTTGGATTTGTCATTCTCTATACAAGATGAAAAGGTGAGACTGGTGTTTTAGTTATAAGTTCAGAGAATCATGCTAGAATCGACACCAGTGTACTAGTAAACTTAATCGGATAGTATTATACCAAATTCCGTAATTTAATCACACCACTTACGTAGTAATCTATTACACCACGCACACTATTCATATTCACCGTCTATTTATGAACAAAAGAAAACACTTTAACAAGTAAACAAACGAAATCAACAGTTGCGAATTCAAGCACCGTTAAATACGATTTGGAGACAACTAATTTAAATTTGGTATTCATGAGTTCGATCGAGCAGTGCCGGCAACCTGACACCGCCGGAACGCTACCGAATAGCATTTCGAAGGCTTCGTACACGACTGTATTATGTAGCCTTATGTTGGTAGGGAGGTTTCGTTTTCGTTTACACGCAAAACG